TATATTACTGATCCTTGTAGTTCGACAGTTTTTGGTCAGTTTTGATTGATTTCCGGAGCTGAGGACATGCTAAAATTTATTACAGGTCGTCCTGGCTGGCACATAGAATGTTCGGTAATGTCCACGGCAGTATGCGGAGACAAACTTGACATCCACGCAGGCGGATTCGATCTCAAGTTTCCCCACCATGATAATGAAATAGCCCAAGTGAGACTCGCAGCATTCCCGCATAGCTTTTTGCATTAATAGGCTCTTACAAAAAATTTGATTATTGTCAGGTTGAAGCATACTACGACAACCCACAATGGGTCAATTATTTCATTCATTGTGGCACTCTCCGGATAGCTGGCATGAAAATGAGCAAATCGCTCAAGAATTTCATCACTATTCGTGAAGCCCTTCAAACATACACCTCTAGACAACTTCGATTTCTGTTTCTTATGCATAACTGGACTGATGTTTTGGATTACAGGTATCTTTAATTAACTCCATCATCTTATGTGTTCGGTCTGCAGTCAAAGGCAGTGATTGCGATCAAGTAGGTGCGCACCGGGGAAGTGTTGTGCCACTGGGAATAGTATCCAGGCGTTAAACAAAGCGACTTGTGGCATTTTACGGCGAACTGTGAGCTATTGTGCGGTCATAAGTGTTTGCCGATACTGTTTTGAAAGCAGTTAATATTTTTTCTCTAAAAAAGCTCGAGAATAAGCTGACAACTTCTCTTTTAATGTCTTGAATCTCAAATACTCAAGCATTCCAAAACACTTGAAGACATAGCATATCGATATTTGAAGCAATTCGTTCGAATGCGAATAATGAGCGAATAATCGTTTCGGACAACATTTGACCGCACTGTACTTGCAGCTTTTCATACCTAAAGATTGAGACCTCAAACCTGCTCCGTCCACTAGTGTGCCTCCTCCTGTGTAGCAGCATTGCTCGCTTTTGTTTTGAAAAAGTATTTCGCTTCGAACTACCTGTAGGTTATCTGGGTTCGTTGGCCTGATGTCAACCATGATGAACACGACCTCATTTTTGGTGGCTGACTGATTACCGTAGTCAAAATTCACGGACAACAAAGGGGTCTATTTTCGCGTATTTTTGGCGCTCTTTTTGCCACTTTCGCTTCATTTACACTCCTATTCCATTCTAACCCCTCCTGGAATCTATCATAATCGCTGTCTCGGGAAGAACATCCCTTTGTCAAATTGCGCGCGAGTGCTTCCTATTTGATTCTTTTCAGCACGGCTACAATGGAACGCGCCATGCAGTTTGAAAAGATATCCAACGAATTTTTCTTGTTAGTCAAGGATTTGTTACGTAAACATTACAAGCCGGATAGCCCTCAGGTGACTCCGTCGTCTAGAACTCGGATATTCAAGATTTTAACTTCACGAAGCCTGTACTGCCATAGACTATTTCAGGGCTATGTTAAATATAATTCTCGAGAGCTTCAAATCATGGAGGAGTTTTCCGCCATCAAAAAAGATGTCAGTTTAACCCTTTTGATTTTCGCGCAATTTTTTGCCAGTTCTCTATTAGGTTCACGACGCTCTGTGCGACTCTATGGACACGAGAACAGTATCGAAAAATTGCGGGATCTTATCGGTATTGGAAATGCTTACGTTAACGAGAAGGTAAAGTTCACACAGAAAATCTTCCCGTTAAGTGATCTTCTCGAAGTATGTTTTAGGAAAAGGAAGGCGTAGCTCCAAATTGCCTCTACTTCAAATATTTCTTTGCTGTACATGACAGTACCTCTTTCGCGATGTATCGGAGTTCCTAAATCTGCGAGAGATAGGCTTCCCCTACTAGAACGGGTTTGGTATATATTCTCCTACTGAATATTCTGAATTTAGCCTTTACAAAGAGTTCTCGATTCTTTTGCCTTCCGCCTAAATGAGAAAATTCTTTATCGTTCGGACTGACTGTAAGGGCTTTCAACAAGCTCAATTATCTTGAGTTGATAAGGTGTGAAGAAGCACCGAGAAGGTAGCCGAAGAACTAGAACATTTTAGGGATTAGGTAGGAAGTTCTTGCTGTGCAGCCCACTTCTGCCGATTCAGAGAACGACTTAAGAGCTACAGTGAGACTCAAAATTCGCATTTGATCTGGATCTTCTCCTTGACGGCGAACTTGTATTTTTGCTCTTGCAAAACTTCAAAAAATAGATTAAGGCATGCGTGCTGTACCACATATGAATATGGTAACTAGGGCCAGGGTAGCCATAAATTGCGGCGCAGCTCATTTTTGTTATTTAACACGTTCACGACGACGACGCGCGTTTTTCGAGCGCGGATTTTGGGAACGCCGCCGCCTCACATCACATCTATAGATTTCGTGAAGTAAATGAACAAAAACAGGATTGTCACAAAGTAATCCCAGGTCAATACATACATAAAAGTGATCAGGGGGATTATAGTGGAACTTTGATAAAAAGTCGTTAGTTGTAATGAAAACGCAAAATTTATCAATATTTGTTGCAGTGGACATCAAAGGAAGTTTTGTCTTGATTTTTCAGACAAAACGTGTACCTTACTATTGACATAGCTTTGGATTTGTTCCTGGTACTTATTCATTCACATTTTCATGGGAATACAAAGAAAAGAATAATAACCGAACGAAAAATTCAGCACGGCCCAGAAGACCTTTTCTGAACTGAAGCATATCTATTTTCACAGTGGACCAGTATGTTTTGAGTTATATATTACTCCCTAATCATCTCACTGATATCGAAAATATCCCACAAAATTACGATCAGCAAATGGCAGGCATTTCTTTGCTGACAGGCCATATGGACTGATACCCTCCCACGGGCTTGCGTGACTGGCAGCCCATATGAGCTGCCATCGGCGTGAATCTGTTAATGGATATTTTTTTTGTACCTGAATTTTCTCCAACCCCTCTAGGACTTTTCATGTGCACTAGCGCGTGTTAGTTAAAGACCACCTCTATCTTACTATCGGGGTGACGAACATGAAAGCAGGGTTGCGAAGTGGACTGGTGGTGAAGAAGAAAGGACGCTAGTTTGTCGAAAACGCTAGAATTGAAGGCTTACTCATTTTTGTAATACGGCTGTGCTAAAGCTGTGAGACGCTGAAGAGTGCAGAAGGCGCAGAAAGGAGTACAGACGAAAGAGCGTTATGGATCAGAGGGTACAAACAACCGTATGTTGCGAATGAGGAAAAATGGAAACGGTCGAATACGTCTTGGAAAATCATAGCACCGCGTGTCGCGCACTTTCCAACTGGGAGTATGAGACATCTGCGACTTTAGTGGACACGGCTGTGTTACCAACAGAGCAATCCTAGAGCTCGTTATGGGATATGCTTTCAATGATATAAGTGCAGAAACTAAATAGTTATTCTCATCTTGGTGTTCAAATGATTATTCTATTCATATACTAGTTCACTAATTCCAAAGGACCTCAACAAGAAAATAGCTTTTTTCAGGGAGGCGGGTGTTGGTTCAGAAGAAATGCTGATGCCCTATCTGAACGCTCTTGCCAGTTTCCGAGAGAAAGTCAGGAATATCGCTAAGGATAATAAAGTTACAGCAATTTTAGAGGTATTCGCTATTGTTTTGCATATTTTT